TAGCTGTCCAACCCAAATGAAAAGGATGTCAATAAATTTATTATTGTCACAATCTCTAGACAATTCAAGTTCAGTTTAGAGCTGAAAAATTGAAATCCCTCAGATTGAAAACGAACGGGCAAACACATATTTCCCTGAGGAGTATCACAGTAGATGTTAGAAAGATGTGAGATATAAAGAAGTAAATCTAAATCAATTATCTGGGGATCGGACATTTTATACTATAAGGATATGGTGTAAATAAATCTATCTAAAGGGACCAGAGTCTCGAGAGATGAGATACAGATACAGATACAGAGATACACAGATATAGAGATACAGATAAAGATATACAGATAGAGAGATACAGATATAAAGATACAGATACACAGATACAGATACATAGATACAGGTACACAGATACAGATACACAGATACAGATACAGAGATACAAAGATACATATACAGAGATACAAAGATAAACAGATACAGATACAGAGATAAAAAGATAAACAGATACAGATACACAGATAGAGATACACAGACACAGATACAGAGATACAGATACAGATACAGATACAGAGATACAGATACAGAGATACAGATACACAGTTGCAGATACAGATACACAGTTACAGATACAGATACAGAGATACAGATACAGAGATACAGATACAGAGATACAGATACAGAGATACAGATACAGAGATACAGATACACAGCTGCAGATACAGATACAGATACACAGTTACAGATATAGATACAGATATTCGTTTAGAGAAACATAATAATATATATTTTTACACTCATATAGATAAGTATACAGTCAGATACAATAACATTTTTTCCAGGTACCTGAACACACCTTTTAAGGGTTTATTTAAGCCATTCCCTTAGTTCGGCTGCCCGCCATTCAGCCGCTTATCAAGCGCCTGTCAAAATGGAATTGGAGCATTTATAAACTAATTAAAATGTATTCACATTAAAATGATGCACACATGCGGAAGATACACACTTTTGCTGTTCAGTTAATGGCCAAATAATTGTCGGATTAGTTGGGGCCGCCATGCAAATGACGTAAGTTGTTATACAACATTTTTTGGGTTTAACTATAACAAGGTAGCGTAGCAGGTGCGTAGGCCTTTAGAAGATAGGAATACCACGAATTGTATATTAAATATCTAATTTATATACAAAATAACTGTTAAAGTTCTAGTTCTCCTGGAGTGGTAAAATGTCTGTTTGACAAACAGCTCAACTCATAGCCTTGTCTAAAGTTGAGCTATAACAGTAAACAGAATTTTGAATTTGTTGACACGTAAAGGTGTTGATTAAGTTGATTAAATGAATAAATTTCATGAAAGATATTAAAATTTTTCTGAGAAATTATTTGATAGCTCACACCTGCGGAAGCGAAGAATGCTAAATTTATTCAAAGCATGTTAGTTAAGAGAATGTTAAAATCATATTAAAAGTATTTTAGGCGCATGTTAAGATTACGTTCAATATTAAACATTTTCAATTTTTCTTATGATAAAAATGATAATCAAAATGATAATTAAGAAAATTTCCTGTACAGCAATGATAATAATCATTTTCATATATACTACTGATTTTTACATCTATGCTCTTCTTTAACATACCAGTCTAACTATGATAAATAATTCAATTAAATTCTTTTTTTTTTTTTTTTTAATATTCGTTTACATAGTCCAACGAATCAATCACTGGAAAATTTAATTTGTATATTCAAAATAGGACAGCTTAGCTGAAAGTATTGTTTTTTTCCCCCACAAATAGATTTTTGAATAAAGCCACTCTAATCTTGACCACCGCAGCAGGATTGACCCAGTCAATAATGCAGCGAACACATATGTGAAAATATAACAATAGGAGAGAGGAAAAATGAATGAAAATGAATTGGATTTTTTTTCGGGGCTTCCCATTGCACTTCTAATTGTTTTTTAGCTTTTTCGTTTTGTGTCATTTCTGGTGACATCGATTGCACTTTGGCATAGAATCCAAATAAAATCTGTGAATATCGATTTGTTTTATGCACACGGATTCAAATTCGTTGAGCTGTCACTTGGCCCGAATGAAGGATGGGATTGTCATGGGAAGTTTAGTACAAAACATATATATTCGGGTTCTGTTTGCAGTTCCAAAACATACGCGAAAGAGACTAAGCAAACTTGTATCAAATGACAGTGGCTGCAGGGGCAACGACATTTTATATATTTTTTGTTGATTAGAAATTTGAGTCATTTGTTTACTTTCGTAACATAAAAAGGTTAGACTAACTATTTTAGACCAACTATTTTTTATTTTTAGATAAATAATAATTTTCAGTAATATGTATTTTATATATATATTCTTTTATATATTTATTTTTAATATATTTTTTTTTAATTTATAAGCCGAATAACATTTATTTCTTTTGATAAAAAAGTCAAAAAGTTGTTCCAGTATTCACCAAATATTTATCTAATTTTATGTAAATAATTTATTTACTTAACTTATTTTTAGAATTTAATGAAAGCTCTTGATTTGATATCAACAAATCGTTTGCCATTACAAATTCCATTGTTCTCCTTCGTTCATTTATTTTTGATTTCGATTTCGATTGTTCAATTCGCCTGTCCGTCGGTTCGTGTTTGGTCCGTCATCGCTGAGGGTCATCGCTACGGGTAACGCGTTTTAAGCCATATCAGGCCCGGACACGGCACCGACACTTTTTGCCATTTGCAGTTGGTAAATAATTGATGACAAAAGTGCGCGATTATTGAACCAAGGCGCGTCCACATATTTCACACATACAGCTACAGACACTCAGGCACACACACACACACATGCATGCATGCATACAGACACAGACAGTTAATACCTCAATGTTGTCCCCGCCCTGTAAGCATGTCAAGTGAGAATCGATAAATCGATCTGAGGCAAAAGTGTCATAAATTATGTATATGAATACTTAGGCTACGCCCAGCCTGTTTGTGCAGTTAGCAAATGCAATTAACATTATTTTTAGTCCGCATTTAATTGCAATTAAGTAGAACGAAAAAGACGCAAAGCAATCGTAGTTAAACATTTATCAAGACCGCAAACCCTGTACCCTAAAATTAAGTTTTGTTAGAAGCTAAGAAAGAGTTACGGGTATAGCATAGCTTTTCTTATGAGAAAATTATAATAGAGTGAGCTTTGAGATAAAATAATTCATATTGCTTTTGAAAGTCTTTTGAGTTGACTAAATAAATTATTTTTAGATATTAAATTGTAGTCAAATGTCTGAACAATTTGAGAATCAGAAAGATTATTCCATGAAGTTTTTTTTATTAAAGGTTGAATATAAATGTATATGAATAATATTGTTTTTGCTTTATTTAAAATGTGTTATACAAGTTTTTTGCTTTTAAGAAACGAAAAAGTATAGAAAAATAATAATATATATTTTTGTTATTAATTATATAATTTTTAATATATATTTTTTATAATATATTTATATTTTTTATATATATATTTATAATATATTTATTTTTTATAATATATTTATATGTCATATTTCTATAATTATTATAAATAAAAAAAATATATATATATTTTAAATATTAATTTTGTTTATATTATTTCATTTATATTTTATATATATTTGTTTGGGTTAAAAAATAAAATAGAATAATTCTTGCTCATATATGTAATAATATAAAGGCAATGAAATTTTATTAATATTTTTTTTTTTTTTTTTTATACCCTGAACCCATTTTCAATGGGAAATCAGGGTATAATGGTTTTGTTGAAATGTATGTAACAGGGAGAAGGAGGCGTGGCAGACCCCACAAAGTATATATATTCTTGATCAGGGTGACGAGCTGAGTTGATTTGGCCCTGTCCGTCTGTCTGTCCGTCTGTCCGTCTGTCCGTCTGTCCGTATGTATGAACGCGTCGATTTCAGAAGATATAAGAGCTAGAGACTTCAAATTTTTTTTAAAATGTCCGTAATTACAGCGCGCATATCAAGTTTATCATTAAAAATCGATAACTCATCATTGCTAGAGTCTCCAAATTTTTAATGTATGCTTATATGCAATTTATACAATTTCGGTTTTTGTTAAAATTTACCCCCCACCTCTAAATTCACCCCCTCACCCTCACTTTTGTAAAAAGCGTATTTCAAATACTAGAGACTTGTGCTTTGGCAAGTACATGCATATTCATGTTATAATCATTATCTAAAAGTTTCATGAAGATCGTACGTCCATAAAAAAAGTTATTAAACAATTAAGTTCTCATAGTAAGCGCACACTGCAGCCCATGCGTGTTTATGCGTGGTTGCTTGTATGTGTATGTGTGTGTGTATGTGTGTGTGTGTATGCGTTTGTGTCTGTATGCGTGTGTGTGTGTATGTGTGTCTATATGCGTGTGTGTGTATGTTTATCTGTGTGTGCGTGCGTGCGTGCGTGCGTGTGTGTGTGTGGCGTGTTTCTTGTGTAAGCTGAAAGTCGCGAAAAAGTATTGAAATATCTATTGCTCCAAGGGTTCAGGGGATCTCGTAGTCGAGCAGTCTCGACTAGAGCTTTCTTACTTGTTTTTTCATATTTTTATTTTTTTACAGCATTTTATCTTCGGTAATTCAGAACACTTGAAGAAACTCGGCCATAGAACTGACCGTAAATATATGTACATATATACTTTATATACATATTGCCATAAAGATAAATATATTATTCATACAACGGTCTCTAAATGTGTTACACACTTCAAGTGCTAGCCATGGGGCTCTCAACAAGCGCATAAAAAGTCGTCGACTGCAGCTGCTGCTGCTATTGCTGTTTGCTGCCAGGCGACGACTAGGCGTATACGCAATATATTTGTAATTACATATGATGGCGTGTAGCTTTAGCAGAACTAAGTTAGAAGAAGTGCACACAGCTGTCACTACCTCTATGTGTGTGTGTGTAATATTATAAAAGTAAACCATCAAGTTGGCTCAATTAGTAGATAGAGACGGTGTCCACACTTACCTTTCGCCATCATCGTTGAATGAGAAATCGCCCAGCAGCAGATCACGAAAACGATAACGAGGCTGTAAAATGCGTGACATGTTGTTGTTGGTATTGTTGTTGTTGTTGTTGCTACTACTGTTGTTGTTGTTGTTGTTGTTGTTAATGTTGTTGTTGTTGTTGCTCAAGTTGTTGTTGTTGATGTTTGTGGTCGTTATGCTTGGCACTTGCAATACAGCGACCGGCTGCTCGATCTGCCGCTCAGTTTCAGTTGCCTCTTGAAAATCACTAAAGTCCGTCACATTAATTAAGCACTCGTTGCCAGCAGCTGGCACTGAAGCAACAGCAACAGCAACGGCCGGTGTGGCAGGTGCCGCAGCACCATTGGCAGCAGCTGCTGCCGCTCTAGCATCATCGGTTTGCCTCCAATCATCGGGCACTTTGTCAAGCCGCTTCCTTCGTCCACCTGTCACGCCCAGCAGCTCATCCTCGCGCGCCGCACTTGTCCCCGTCAGCAGATAGCCGCCACCACTGGCCCGATTGGGCCGTGGCGAACGTAGGCGCGTCCACAGATTGGCGAATATCTTGCACCAGGCTTACACCTTGGCGCCTTGGCGTATGCGCGTCGTCCCCTCTCCAATCGCCTTCAATCTATCAATATGTCAATTTCAATTTCAATTGCAATTTATTGCAATTGCCATGTCAGATTCGGTAGCTACCGTCGCAGCTACTACGCTTTGAGCACTTCGACGGGGGTCCTGTAAGTTGGGCAAACATAAAAGTTAATTGAAATCACATCATTTTATTAAATATGTCTAATTATCGAGTATCGAATGATAATTTGTGATAATGATGAGGATTGCATAGAAAGGCGATACTTAATAGGAAGCATTAGCTTGAGTAGGTTTTGGATAATAGCATTTTATTAGCTTTGCAGCTTGCTAAGCAGTTTAAAGTAATTCATTTTATTATTTTGACTCTTTGACTATATGAAAATCGCATAGAAAGGCATTAAAAAATAATAGATTTATGAATGGATGTGGATATATGTATATATGAATATATGTATATGGATAAAGCATTTATTACAGTTTATATACAAGTCTTTATCAATTTTAAAATAATTCCTCAATTTAATTGCTAATTTTTATTCGCTTAATACTATAAAAAAAAAAGACGATATCGAATTGTTGAACACACTAAGAAAATTTTGATGGATCTCTATGTATAAATAGCAGAGTTAAAGCTTTGATGGTCTATAACAAACTCAGAACAAGCTCGTCTCGATAAAATGTATTATATTTTTCATTAAATTGATTACAATGTATATAGAGCTCGATTTATTTGGGTAGTCCTGACTTCAATATTGAAAAAAAAAAATAAAAAAAAAAAAAAAGAAGGGTTATATTTCTTTTTAAGCAACAAACTAAGCCTTATACTCTTGTCATATTTAATATTATATACCATAGGATATGAACCAAAAAATTTTATCTGAACATATGCCAACAAATCCTTCAACAAACACTAGTTAGTCATTTTTCTATAAATATTTCTCCTGAATTATTTATTTACTAGGGTTAGTTATTATATAAACAACTCCTCTCACTCTCACTCATCAAAACATAATAATTTAATTGCCAGCGATAGAAGTTCGACATGCAAACGTTTAGGCAGCACGCACATATGAACCCATCGATATGAGCACAATGGGATTTGATCCATTTTAATCCTCGAATCTATGGCTAAGCACAAAATCCATTTATTTTTGTGTAAAGCAAATCTTGATTATAAAAAGCAACAACAACAACAGCAGCAAATTGAAGCTGCCAAACAAATCAATGTCAAATCAAGTTTTTCTTGCTCAACAATGCAGACAAAGCAAACTCTCATATGAATGGGCAGACAGACAGACTGACAGCTAGACAGAGATGGCGAGAGGGAGAGAGAGTGAAAGACAGATAGAGATAGAGCACAGCGCAGCATCTGACCAAGAGCTGTTTTCTTCAATAAATTCCCTATCCCCCTCACACTCCCCCTCTCCCACTCCCTCTCCCACTCCCTCTCCCACTCCCTCTCTCACTCTCTCCCACATCTTTGGTGCTCCTCTGATTGTTTGCTGTCTGCGTAATCAAATCAGCTGCCACAGCTTAGTCTTAGACCGGCTGTGGCACATAAATCGCGCTGCCACGCCCACTTGTTGTGAGAAATTTAAGCAATTACACACACACACACAGACAGCTGTTTCTATCCCAGCCAGGTGCACGTTTTGTTCTTGGCTAATATAAATTTTTGCGTCCTGCACATTAATTAGATTGTCGCCTTTCGAGTTTCAAACGTTTTCCCTCATTGCATTTCGGCCATAAAATATTTTGTGCCTAAAGCGTTTTTAATTAGTTACAGCAAATTTGCTGCTCGCCACGCCTCCCTTCACCCGCTCACTGGGCCATTTGTCTCACTCTCTCTCCCTCCCTCTCTCTCTCTCTCTCTCTCTTGCTCTGTCTGTCTGTGCAAATTGTGTCTGGTTTATAATTGGCTTACGCCGCAGCAAAATGTTCAAATAAGTTTTTCAATTATATTTATAGTTTGACGCGTGGCATTAATTCACAAGCAAATCTCTGGGCCCGATTTTGTTTTTGGCTACGTTAATTTGTTGGCACAAACGCGTCAAGCCGACAATCTTTACAATTTATGCCAAGTAAACAGGATTAGGAAAAATGTTGTATAAATACCAAGAAGAGAAAATTTATTTATAGAAAGAAAATTAGCATTTTTATGGGCTGCCTAAGGAATTTAAATTTTGTAATATTTAAACTGTATTATTTATTAAATTCTTAAATTTAAGTAATTAAATGTGGAATAAGATAAACGGTGCGTAAAAATCCGAAATAATAGCTGTGAAAATTTATTTTAAATTTATGTTTTTTTTTTTTTTTTTATTTATTTTTTTTTTTTTTTTTAGTTGTCTGACTCATGTCTATAATATTTTCTTTACATTTCTATAATTATAAATTTTAAGTATATTTAAAATAAAGGTCATGCCAATAAATAACAAATGTTTACTTGTCAAACAAATAAAACTTACTTCAAGTTATAAAAAAAAATTGCAAATAAAAATGTAAATCAGAGAAATTTACTTTACTATTACGAATAAAAAATATATATTTAATAAAAAAAAAATAAATAAAAAATGGACAAAAACTGTATTAAAATAAATATAAATAATAATGGAAACGAAACTCATAATCAAACAAATATGATCCAATTAAATGAAAGAAAAAATGATTTCATATAATATATTCATTTCGGGAAATCAACAAATATTTGCAGTAAAATCAAAAGTAAACAAAAATTTACATTTTTGTTAAAATTGTTTTGTATGTAATATTTTTATATACATAATAATATTTATATATACATGCATATATCAACGCTTCCAGCCGCGCATCGCTTTAATGAACTCAAATTTAAACACAAATTTTAATTATATTTTGCTCAATATTCATTGTAAATAAAAAAAAGGAAATGACAACAACAACAATGATTTGCCATCAATACGTGACCAAATGAGCAACGCATGAATTTAATTTCTAAACATTATTTACGATGGCAAAGTATGAAAAATACAAAAAAACAAAAATAAAAACGAAAAGCAAATGTGAAAGGGAAAATGCGGTTGACCCCGCAAAATATGTGAGTAAATGTGTTTTTAGGCCATCATTTGGTCATCTATCTAATGCCTTAATTATGTGGTCTAAACGCACACACACACACACACACACAGATATTTTGATTTATAGACTGCTAGGTTGCCGCCAGAGAATGACAAAGGATGGCGTAGGACTCTTGCTTGCGCCTGGAACAGATAACAAATTATTGTATTTCATGCGGCGCTAACATTTCGAAAATAATATCTTTTACTATCCTCAACCCAGACGCTTACTTGCATTGTATATTCAACCTACTATTTGATGTTGAAGCAAAAGTTTCGCGTGTTGTAGCGTGCTGGGAGCTCAGCTTAGCTTACTTTTCTGTTCTGTTCTCTTCTGTTCATATTTCCTACCATATTCATCAACAATAATTGCCTAGCTGAGTTTTTGTTTTCTCTGCCACAAGCCACAAGCCGCGTATCCCTTTTGGCCACTGACACTTCATCATCATCTCTTTAGCTTCTGCTGCTGCTTGAGTTTGAGCTTCGTCTTCCTCATCCACACCCAGTTCATTGTGAGACAACCTGTACCAGTCTTCTGCCTAACTCTTGCCACATGCCCTACACTCTGCTCGTTAGCTGAGCATAAAGCGCGTGTTAAGTGCTCTGACTCACGCCAAAGGGATTAGCTGCCAAAGCTATTGATGTCATAAGAGGGATTTTAATCATGCTCAAATATTGAAATCTAGACTTAAGAACTTTTGAATGGAAAAATAAAGTAAATATTCATAAATTAAAATTAATTGAAATATTTGTAAAGATTTTAGACTATAAGATAAGTTTTACGTTTTCAAAGACTAAAATAAATTTGAAAAAATTATAGTTTGCTGTTTAAATTTCTTTTTTTATATGACAACAAAATTATATATATAATTTTAAAATGAAAAACTGGTAGTCAACAATAAAAAATAACAAAAACAAGAATTTCAAATATATTTTTTAAATATTAAAAACAATTCTTTAATAATAATATATTGCTTTAATTTTATTTATTTATTTTTTTAATTATAATATTTGAAATTTAAAAAAAATAACTAAAAAAATAAAAATAAAAAAATAAATTAATTAATTAAAATTAACTAAAATATTTTAAATTATTGTAGCTATAACAAAGAGTGAAATAAATTGAAATTGAAAATTGAAACTAAAATAATTTCTTAGCACTTTTATTTTTATTTAAAATTATATATAACGAACTAAAATAATTAAGTAATATTAATAAAAAAAAAATTAATTAAAGTTGACTGAAATAAATAAATAAAAATTATAAAAAATAATATTCACATAATATTTAGTGTTTTTTAACTAAAACTACAACTAATAAAAAATATATAATAAAACTATTTTTATTATGATTTCATTTAATCGGAAAATAATATTTAAAATGTGTCTAATGCAATTAAATTATAATGCTATACTATTATTTACTATTGATTAACATAAGATAAATAATTAGTTTCAGCTTTCCAAATTCATTTCCCATATAATTTGGGTAGCGTATACACAATTTCCCCAGTTGCTTTGCCATTGGCTGCGAGTTTTTGTTTTACTTTCAGACAGCGCTCGGGGCTTTATTATTCTTTGGCTGACAATGTCCCATAAGAAGTCGTCAGTTGTGACTGTTTTTGTGTGCCTTTGAGCAGCATGTTGTTTGGTTAGATTATCCAAAGGCCTCCCTGCCGCCCCTCCCACAGCCTGATGCCTCTAAACCGCACAGGTCGCCACGCATAGCGCTGCAGCTGTTGGTGCTGCGGCTGCTGTTGCGGATGCTGCGGCTGCTGCTACTGTTGTTGTTGTTTTTATTTTATCTGGTTTTTTTTTTTTTTTTTTTTTTTTTTTTGGTGACTTGTCAAGCACTTGGAATATTTTATAAGAAAAACTTGACCCGCTTTATGCAACAACAGCCAAAACAATGGACGCGCAAAATTCGCGCCAGCCCACCCACACTTCCGCAAAAAAAAAATATGTATGTATATATAACACGCCCCAACACAACCAAACACCCACGCACACACACACACACACCTGTACGCTCCGCTCCGCTCGCACGTTTCCCACCCACACAGCACACCTGTATTTCCTCTCAACCACATTCAGTTGTCCCTCTTAAGCTCTTCATCTTGTTCAGCTGCTGTTGCCCCCTTCGGCCGCTAACGTTTCGCATTGTTTTTATCTTTTTATCATTGTTGCCCGTTTGGGGCTGCTCATCTCTTTGCTCTCGCGATGTTTTCTTTTTGTGGCGCTCATTCCGGCTCTTAATTAAAATTAACATTTTATAAATCCCACTTTAGACGGCATAATTACAACAACAGCAAAAAAAAAAAAAACGAAAAAGAAAGTCAGCATTAAAAAATAAGTTTATAAATATTTAAGACTAAAGCTGTTTACAGTTCTTAGTCCAAGTGTCGCTCTCACTCCACGCTTCCTTTCCCTCTCCATCCCTCTCTCTCTCTTTCACACTTCTCCTTCTCATTTACAATTTGCCATCGGCCTGACTTTCTCAACTTTTGTGACTGCTTTTCGAATTATCCTCGATAAGCTTTAAATTATATTTAAATATTTATTTATTTAGCATTGCTGTGTGTGCCTGTTTTTTGGTATTTTTTGTTGGTATTTTGTGTTGGTATTTTGTAACAGGAACAGCACAAAAAGGTCAAATAGTTTAACCTTTTTGTCTACCAATTTAATTGAGACATTAAATATGAGAAAGGTCTTCGCATTTGCGGTCCCCGCTCATTGTTGAAACGTTGGCCGAGATTAAAATTGCATACCTCTGGCTTATATTTTAATCAAGCATAATAAATCATTTAGCCTTAATGCAAACACACTCACACACACATATACAAACAGAAAAACTAATTTCCACACAATTCTGCAAAAGTTAACTCATATATTTCAATTCAATTTTGTTACAGACAAACAGATTAAAAATTGAATACATTTGGTGTTGGTGGAAAAGCTCTATGGGAGAGTTTCATAATAATATTTTGCTGCATAGTTTTAGGATTCTGGTAAATTACGCAACATTATTATTATTATTATTTTTATTTTTATTTTTATTTTATTTTTTTTTTTAATTTGAACTATTTATAAATAAAAAAATAAATAAATAAATAAAATTAATGAATAATTTTGTTTTCTATTTTGTTTATAAGACTAAAATAAGTCACATAATATATATTACCCTATTTATTAATAAACATTTTTTAAATAATAATGATACTATTTAAAATAGATTTTTCAATATAAAAATAAAAATCAGAAACTTTTCAACACATTAGACTAAATTACTATTATCAATCATCATCAAATTCTTTATTCTTATAAAAAAAATTAAGTATATAAAAATTCCTACAAGTAAAAAAAATCTGTCATTAATATCTCTCTTACATATTAATATAAATATTTTTCACAATTCAAATCTAATTAAATTATTAAATCTCCGCTGATCTCAACTTTATTAATTAAAAACTCTCAATACGCAAAAACAGCAAGGTAAAGGATTCACTTTGCTTTAGTTTTAATTGATTTTTTTTTTTTTTTTTTCAAAACCGAATTTCATTAAGTTTATGAAGTGCTCTTCACCTGCTTCAGCTTTAGGTTAATCAATAAACTCTCATTCGCCTTAACGGTAAATGCAGAAACCAATCAAATATTGTCGCCATCTGCATGCCAAATAAATGGTCTTCAATGCCCTAGAGACAAACGTGGAGCAAAGGTCGAATGCCCAAAAAAAAAAAAAAAAAATAACAAGAAGAAGGGCAACAAAAACTACAACAAAATGAGAAAGTCAGCAGCTGAATATATTTATTTCTCTGTTTAACTTTTGCTTCTTGTTTTTGTTTTATTCTAGTGCGATAATTGAATGCATTACTCAGAGCGCATAAGAAAGAGAGAGGGAGACAGAGAGTGAAGTTGAGCATAAAATCTCTTACCTTTTAAGGCTCTTTAACACTTTACTGCCCGAGATGTAAATGTTTTCCAACATATTTTATGCGAAAAGTCATCAAAACTTTTGACAACACTAAACTTTTTGGTTGATTATTGTTGTTGTTGTTCCTTTCGTTGTTGTTGTTGTTGTTGCATTCACTGCATGGACACAAAACTTTTATGCGGCACGCTTAGTATTAAATTTCACAGTGTTTTCTTTTTATTATTATTTAATTTTTTATTTTTTTGGCATCAATAGAGAATAAGATAAGGAGAAAAAATCACTCACACATGCACACACTCACACCTGCACGGCATACACGCACAAACGATCAGATCACTTAGCAAGGCATTCGATGTGTGCCTCCCTTTGCTGTTGTTGCTATCTCACTCACACAACACACACGACGCGGACAATACATAAATAATTTGTGGGTGGCCAGCAGCAGTGACGGAGAGACGGCGAAAAAAGTTTTCGTCAAATGCAAATAGCGTAAAGTTACACAAAAACAATACAACAAGTCCGTGGCCGTTACCGTTGGCGCAACCGTTACCGTTATTACTATAGCATTAATTCTTATTTCTCGTTCGACTGCGTTTGCGAACCGAACGCGCGCGAGGCTCAATAAGAACTGAGACAGGAGCGAAAGCCAGCGTCAAGCGGCGTAGGTGAAGAACGGTAAACGGCTGGCGTTGTTGTTGCGGTTGTCTTTCAGGCTGGTACTTGTTGTTGCTGTGCCCGTAGTGCTTATCAGAAACAGCTGCGCGCCAAACATTAAAGCGCCAAGCTTTGCCCAAAAGCTTTACAGTGGGCTCACATATATTGAGCATGGTTGGAGTGTGTGAGGGAATTCAATGAATGCTAAGGCAGATTGGATTGCCTTATTAATGTTAGATGTTTCAGACTAAATTTAAAAGTGTTTTAAATAAAAAAAAAATGTTGACTTATAAACATAATTTTTAAAGTTTTATTTATTATATGTATATTATTTTTTAAATGTATGTAAAAAGGTAAACAATTAAGTAATTTTTCTTGCAGCATCTTTTCAAAAAAAAAAAAAAAAAAAAAAATCCTATTCTCTTGTTATTATCCTATAAAAATCGTCATCTTATAAAGTCTGATGCGTATGCATTTATAAAGGTAGAACTATTACAGTGCTGTCCAACATAAATTAAAAAGCTTAAATAATATTCTGTGATGTCGCAGCTTAAAAGGTGGATCAAAACAATTTGTTAATATTCTATTTCAAGTGCATATAAATAAAAAGCTACCTTTAATAGCTAAAAAGCTAAGCTGACAGCTCTGTCACAGCGCACAGCCAAATGCATTCCAAACCAAATTCAAAGTCAAATTCAATTTGAATGCACTTTACAGCTCAACTGTCAATCAATATGCTAATATCGTATCGAGAAAATAAGGAAGGCAAATATTTACATACATATATATAAAAAGTTAACTAATTTATTCATTCAAGGGGAATGTTATAAAGCTTTGATATCGTGTATTAAAATTATAAATATAAAAAAATATTAATATTTCTATTTAGTTATCGATAGTGTGTATTGTTTTTGGTCCATAATAACGTCCTCTAGAGTCCTCTAATAATTCTCAGTGGTGCGAACATAGTTGACGCCCGATGGCATGGAGACCTTGTCGAAGCCCTTGGGGAACAGCTTGTGGGCGTCTTCGTCGGTGACGGAGGGCAAGATCATGACCTTGGTGCCAGGCTACAGTGGTGGCAAGAATAATGAAATGAGTTTATAATTCCATACAGAGAATATAAGAGTTAGGGACTTACAGTCCAATTGGCGGGCGTGGCAACCACCTTTAGGCGATCGGTCAGCTGCAGCGAGTCAATGGTGCGCAAGATCTCACTGAATAAATTACAGGGTATTAGATAAGTATGCTTAAATTCTGTAAAATCATTCCACGCCACTCACTCAACATTGCGTCCCGTTGACATGGGATAGAACATGGACAGGCGCACCTTATGGTCCGGACTGATGATGAACAGGGCCCGTATGGTCTTGCCCACCTCGGGATCCTGCCTCTGTTCCTCATCGAGCATGCCCAGCGACACGGCCAAATCGCGAGTGGGATCGGCAATGATGGGATATGGAAAATCGCCGGGAATATCCAGGCAATACGACTTAATGTCATTCACCCAATCGACGTGCGAGTCCAAAGCATCCACCGAGTGGGCCAGGCACTTGGTGTTGCGCTTGGCAAACTCCGGCTGATGGACAGCGATGCGACCCAGCTCTGTGGTGCACACGGGCGTAAAGTCAGATGGATGAGAGAAGAGCACAACCCAGCTAGAGAAGAAGATATAGTATTTATATTTATTATTTTTATATTTGTAAATAATTATGTAATTTTCATATAATTTAGAGGATATTTATGAGTGTACTCAAACTTATTTTGTCAACTGTATGAGTGTGTGTGCGTTTACTTACGAGTCGCCCTGCCATTCGTAGAAGCTAATGGGACCCTTTGTGGTCTCCGCCTTGAAGTTTGGAATAGTTGCACCCAGACGCATTTTGATTACTTGTTTTTTATTTTTTTTTTATTTTATTATTTAAAATTGAGCGAAGAGCGAAAATTCACTTCACTTGTTTGTCGCTGAACTATTGAAGTCAACTGAATGGCAGCTCAACTGCGTGGCTGCCTTTTATACACGCCAAGCACACATACAAACGACGCGAGCAGCAAAGCAGAAGAGAAGTAGAACGAGGAGCGAAGAGCGAGAGAGCGGATCAACAGCACACTAAAGCAAAGCCTGACCTGGCATACAACTGTGATATTCATGTGTGTGTGTGTAGTTGTTATGCATAATAGACTTGATTGTTATACACGTTACAGCATTACACAGCTCTGTTATACAGCTAAACACTTGTTTATTTACAACCCGAGCAATTTAAAATAATAATCACAAATGCAGCTGCCTATATTATATGAATATAATATATACATATTTTATAATAAATAATTACACAAATCGGTTTTAGGTTTAGCTGATGAAATTGTCCAATTGAACAACTCCAAATGTCCAATTGGATAATTCGATACGTAGACCACAAAAATGAAAACAAAAACCGCAACAAAACGTAAACAGAGAACTAACTGGAAGAGCGCAAAAGTTTCTTTATTAGTATTGGTGATTGGCCTACGATTTACAATACACTCTCACACTTTACGCTCTTCTCCCGCTCGCTATACGAATTGTGAAGAGAGCGTTGCTGGCTTTGGGTGTATTGGTGAGCTGTATAGCTTTACAAATACTAAGAAACACAGACGCTCAGCCGACGCTAACTGTGTGAGTTCGTATGGGAACTTCGTGAAATTGAGCGCATAACAAAGAGCGCAACAAGTTGTTTAACTGTGTGAGTACCGCCCATATAAAATACCAATACTAATTTAATTTTACTCTCAGCTTTGAGGCGTTTTTCTATAGGTGTAAGCATATTCGGGTCGCAGTCAATATAAAGCCAAGCAGATGCCTTCAGGCTGCCAGGCAGTTAAGATCATCAAGAAGCAGAAATAATACTTAAATATCAAAGAAAATATAATAAAATAACTCTAAAAAATATTTGCAGTTCATTTTAAGTACAGTCTCTAATTTTTATTTATTTATTTTTTTAGTTTTTTTCTCTAAAGTCTAAAGTCGACAACGCAATAATCTTGCTTCCACTTGAAATTCTCGCTGGTAATTTTCCATTCCACATTTGTTTGTCTATAAAGCAAATCAAAAGCAAAAACAATCAACAACAGGCAACAACAAGCAATCACATTTGTATGCCGGACGATAAGAAACCCGTAGCTAGGAGTCGGGGAGCAGATAGAGCTGCAGCGGAATGGGCCACGTGTTGAGCTAAGCACTCAACTGAAGGCCTGACAAATCTAATGATATTCATACAGGGTGTCTCAGCTGTTTTTTGCAGCTCAAATAAAAGCCATGAACATTGTATCACTAGATAAAGTTTTAGCAAACTCCAACTTCATTCAGCTTTCACAAATGCCGGCTAGCAGCTAGGCCGACCTAGTCTTATCACAGCTATATGTCCATGAGCCCAGCAGACCGTGTATTGGTTTTTTCTATAGCCTACACTAATACAGTTAAACAACTTGTTGCGCTCTTCGCCATTCGCTCAATTTCACGAAGTTCCAATCAGATCAGCCACACGTATTCACACAGTCAGCCCCAAACTGAGCGTAACTGTTTCTTAGTAGTGGTAAATCTATGCAGCTCACCAATACACCCAAAGCCAGCAACGCTCTCTTCACACAGTTCGTTTAGCGAGCGGGAGAAGAGCATAAAATGTGAGATTGTATTGCAAGTCGTATGCCACTCCACCAATACTAACAAAGAAACTGTTACGCTCTTCAATTTAGTTCTCTGTTTACGTTTTGCTTTAAGTATTCCAGCTTTTTGCAATTTTTTTTTTTTTTTTTTTTTTTTTTTTTTTGCTTTAATTAATGAGCTAATTGAACAGGTTTTAGACTTAGCTTGCTAAATTTATTAAAATTTTATTTTCATACTATATTCATACTGTCATATTAGGATTTTTTTCTATATCTCAAATAAATATTAATATATTTTTTAATAAATATTGCCACGTTTACATCGAAAAACATTGCTTGTCATCTTTTATATCTTTTTGACGCTCTTTTTTCTCCTCTGCAAAGTGTATAAAAGCGAACGGTTGACGCCTCTTTCGCTTAGATACAAAGCAAAGCTAAACGGGTGTTAATTCGCTAGCAATATTAATTGAATAAATATCTTTAAAAATATATATATGTATATATAATATTCAAATAAATAGAAAATCAAATCATGTCTCTCGTTTCCGTTGCCGACTTTGAGCAAAAGGCCAAGGAGCTGCTGGACCCAAATGTTCTAGATTATTATAAGAGTGGCGCCGGAGAACAGATAACATGCGGTCTGAACCATGAGGCGTACAAGAGGTAAAACCAGATATAATGTACTGACTGTTATATGCTCAACATATACTCACATTCCATTTCAGATTACGTTTGCGTCCGCGCTGTCTGCGCGATGTTTCCCACCTGGACATCAGCTGCGAGATTTTGGGTGCGCAGCTCGCTTGGCCCTTGGGCATTGCTCCCACAGCAATGCAGAAGCTGGCTCACCCAGATGGAGAAATAGGCACCGCACGCGCCGCTGGCCAAGCTGGCTCCATCTTCATTCTGAGCACTTTGTCCACCTGCTCCATTGAGGAGGTGGCAGAAGCTGCGCCAGAGACTTGCAAATGGTTTCAGCTCTACATCTACAAGGAACGGTGAGTGAATAGTTATGAATATGAATATGAATATGAATATGAATATGAATATGAATATGAATATGAATGTGAATATGAATATGAATATGAATATGAATATGAATATGAATATGAATATGAATATGAATATGAATATGAATATGAATATGAATATGAATATGAATATGAATATGAATATGAACATGAATATGAATATGAATATGAATATGAATATGAATGTGAATATAATCTATAAGTAAATCTCCATTATCTCTAATCCCTAGCTCCCTCACCCAACAACTCATAAGGCGCGCCGAGCTGGCCGGCTTCAAGGCGTTCGTCCTG